GATAAAAGATATTTACGACTTACCAATAACATCTCCATTCTACTCAGATTGGACTTTAAACTGGTGATGGCCTCTTGCAATGGTTTCTCTGAAAATGACTGTCGTTGTGATGAGGTTTCTGTAAGACATTTTTACAAATAAATAAAATTACTCAGATAAGTAAAACACAGCTAAAATATGTGTTTAGTGGGATCAGGTATTTGTTGAGCTACATGCTTCGAGTTACATGCCCTTCGAGTTACCCGCTAGACCACATCCAAATTTGACATTGTCATGCAGTGTGCACAAATCGATGTCAACAGCTAGAATATTTGCTTAAATAGTTTGATAGGATTTGCAGGCTTCTCTCATAAGTTTGAAGCAAAAGCTTCATGAGCTACATGCTTCGAGTTACATGCTTTTCGAGTTACCTGCTAGACCACACCCAAATTTGACGTTGTCATGCAGTGTGCACAAATCGATATCAACAGCTATAATATTTTCTTAAATAGTTTGATAGGATTTGCAGGCTTTTCTCATAAGTTTGAAGCAAAAGAAAAACAGGCAAATTTCAAAAGTTTGACTGTTATTTATTCATTAGAGTGTAACTCAAACTATGAAAGATCTCTTCCTGCAGTTGAGTTATGTGCCTATCGTGTAACTCAAACTCACACAACTTTCTTAATGACATCGAGATACGTGCACTGTGTGACAACGTCAAATTTAGGCATGGTCGAGTGTGTAATTCGAAAAGTGCATAACTTGAAGCGCATAACTCAAAGTGCGTAACTCAATGAATACACAATGAATACACAATGAATACACAAATGAAAAACATCTGCTCATGCTCTAAGTCAAAAATATGTAAATAGGACTTTCAATTATGCCTGATGGATTGGACTTCACAAAATACCAAAACTTAGGTGTTCATACTTGAAACTTAAGGCTAATTCTTTTATATTGTTTGTTAATTTMGTATCTTGGTCTCGCAAATGTGTTTGTATACTCAGAGAAAACAAACATTTGTTTTCTCACTCAAACTCTTCCAAATTCATTGAAAACATTCTGAAATACACACATGCACAAACGTTTTTCATTAGTGTCATATTTTGTAAGATCGGTTTTTAAGTACAATCCCTACCATAAATTCAAAATTGATTGTGTAGTCCCAGAAAATATCCATACCCCACACACGGAAGAAATTGAAAATTCTGGAGGCAAGGGATCAGAAAAATATTACAGAGTTTGTATGGAAGAAAATTGGAAGCTGCTGGAGGTCGGGGGGTCCATTAACGCTTAGCTTTTTTTTTAATTCAATGACCATCCCAACAGGAAGGCAAAGAATGCAAATTTTTTTGTCCTATTTTTCCATTGTTACTTTCAGTACTAAAAGTATGATCACTATTTATAATCATTATATATCGTATTCTCACTTTGTTCCAAGGAATGCTTTATATTTTATATACTTATTTACATTAATCTCCAACCAATTGTATAATAAATTCTAAAGCATGCTTTATGATAAGGCATTGTCGTACAATAGAAATGACAACAATGCGCCCAAACTGAATAGCTCTAGCAATTTGATACTTCTTGGGTTTAAATACACTTCCTATCATGCAGTCTCGAATATATTCTGTGCCAATCAAACCACGAGTAGTACAATCCTTCTCAGGGTGGTATTGACAAATTTTTGATTTTTTTCATCTGAAAGTGGTAGAGGGAGCTAGTATTTCCACCACGAAGCAGTGGCGTCAGTAAAACACTCATGCATCTCAAGTTCATTCATTCTAGACGGATTTCTAGAAATGGAGAATGTTGCTAGAATTACGTAAATCGACAAGCATTTTGATTCCATCAACAAAGCTTGCTAGACTCGCACTTAACTTCCCTTGAAGACATTTTTTCCATTTTTTTTCCATTGACAGTATATTAAACTGTAGAAGATAATATAATATAATATAGATAATATAATAATAATAATATAATAAGATAATATAGGTAAGTTACATACTCTCATCTTTACAGTATATTAAACTATTGTGCTAATATGGCGCGTGGAATGGTGTGTAATGCAATGCACTGAAGTAACGCAATTGACAACAAATATTCAATTACATCGCAATGACAATTTTGAACCATTCCGAGCGCCATATGCTAAAGACTAATTCCTTTTCATCCTTCTCTATAATTTATTTCTTGTGATTATTTGTACAGTAGTCTATGGGGTACAATATTAATTATTTGAAATACATTTCTTATGAAAACTATATAAAAATCTGATATTTTTGATTAAAATTTAGGTGTGTCGCTTTCAAGCCTTGCCAACACCCACAACCAGATTTTTAAAAATTATATAAGCTTACTACTTCTCTTTACTAATAAATATTTGATAATTTGAAAATCAAAAGACATCAGCCGAATTTTATTTAAAAATCGACACCCTAGGTAATGTTTCACTTCACTGGCGTTTCCATACGATTGAAATGAATGAGAAGCAGATAGATATACAGTAATATACCCGAGTAGTGGTACCTTATATTCGATCTGAAATGTCTTGAAAGAAACGGGAAGTTGTAAGCCTAAAACAAACRTGGTGTGCTTCCAAAACCGCGTGGTCTTACCTTTGCTGTCTGTTGTACCGTTCCCACAATGGCATTTCGGTCCAACCATACCAGCAATCATCAATATAACTAACACAGTCGCAGTCAACGATAGCAATAAAACAAGATATAATATAACTCGATGGCACAAAGGTTCTCGTCGGGGATATGTGTAGCCCGTGTCGGAGTCGTCTGACGATCGAGACATAGATCGTACTCCACGTTTGACTTTGTTCAAAGATTGTAATGGTATAGACATTTCGTATAAGTCATTCGTCTTTTTCCTTGGACCAACATGTTCCCTAGTTAGTGATTGTTGTGCCAAGCGAGCGGGATCCTCATAGTGATGATTATTTGAAGTGTCTTGGTTTTCTTCGTTAGTATACATCGGCGTTAGTAGCCTTTGACTGGATCTACTACTCGGATTTGGTACGAACTGTACTTCAGGTCTATTGATCCCATAGGAGAAACATTCTTGTTCGATAATAGCCGAATCTCGATTCATTTTCCTCAGATCAAACAGCGATTTGTTCTCGTACTCGCGCAGTTTCAATAATACTACAGATCGTGCCACCAGTCAAGAGTTCAGTAGTTTTACACCAGACGTCGCGCGAAAATCCAGGTAATGTGATTGGATGCTCAGTGTGTTACGATAACCGTCAATATATAATAGCTATGCTGTTTACTAATACAAATCTGTTGCCTCGAAATTTAATAAAAGCCTTCCACCAAATATATTGTATATCACAAGAAATTCCTATTCCAAGGTAAAGCCTGTATTTGTGTCACGTTCTGTTGCCAGTTGTAGTGACGTAACTTGGAAACCACTAGCTACCAAATTAGTAAAGCTAGTCTTAGCTGCGAAACGAGATTTTCATATTTATATCATAGGCTTTTTTCGGTAAAAATCAAAAGTTTCGGTAGATGATATTTGCTTGGATATAATGATGAAATTTTATTGTATCAGACTAAGACACCTGAAGACAAACGACAACACACGAAGAGTCGACACGTACGCAGCCTCTTCCACCCACAACACTCCCCCTCCCACGTGACTGTACTTACGTACTACGAATATATTACTACCATTTTCGAGCTATCGTGAACGAAAAACATTTTACCGCGTTTGTTCAAGCGTTAAACCTGACACTTTGACTAGACGAGCGGCCGCCTTTGTCGCGTGGTTAATTAACGTTTCGACTGAACATATCAAGTTTGAAGAACACAACTAACATGTTTTCGTAACGCTTTACAAGGTTTTGAAACTTTTTATTAACGTTTTATTTTGTCACGAAATCACAAATACACTACATAAAATCGAAAAACCTATGCAAATAAAGTTCGGCTGGATCATTTTGTGGGTTTAGAATTTTTTATTATAAATGGCCAAATATTTATGATAATTTGACATTTTGAAAGGCGACAAGTTCAACTAAATCGGTCGCTGTGGTGTACAAATTCAATATGAATATCAACAAAGCAGGACGTTCTTACCAGCCAGGGAAATCACTTGATTACGATCTTCGAGAGGTTATAATTACAAAGTGTTTTGGCTACGGTGGTGATCCTTTATACAACTTTTTGCCTGTGTCTTTAAGCACAATTGCAGAAGAAGCCGGAGTTGCAAAAAACACCGTAAGGAAAGTTTGGAGTGAATTTTGTACAACCCGTACTGTTAATCCAAGAGCGAGGGGTGGTGATTTCTGCAGCAAGCTATCTGCGGGAGATCTGGAGTTGATAGAGGTTCTAAAGACTACTCGAGGGTCCATATCGCTCCGAGAGTTGCATGCTGTGCTAGATGATGTTGGCGATGTAACAGACATTTCCTTATCCGCGATCTCCAAGGCAATAAAATCTAAGTTGTTGTCAGGAAGAAAATATTCTAGAAAAAAAATAACGCATGTTGCGAGAGAGCGATTCACGAATGACAACATGGTCTATACACAGCTTTTTATAAATTATCTATCTGCTAAAGATCCACAGAAAATTAAATTCTTTGATGAGGCTGGTATAAAAACACCCGATGTTGGTACTCGTCTTTACGGTAATTCACCAGTTGGGCAACGCTGTGTGGAGATCGCGAAAAAAGTTGAATCACCAAATCAAACTCTTAATTTATTGATTTCTCTGAATGGTCCAGAGCACTACAATATAATCAATGGAGCTAGTAATACCATTGAATTCTGGAATTTTTTTGAAGAGGCAGCTATCGCAGGGAACATAACTACCGGAAGACCAGCCTTGGAGGTGGGAGATATTATTGTTATGGATAATTTAGCAGTTCACCATTACGAAGGCGGGGAAGTATTGGAAGAATACCTTGCTGACATGGGTATAGAACTGATTTATACCCCTAGTTATTCGCCAGATTTGAACCCAGTGGAGTTCTGTTTCAATAAAGTCAAAGGTTTGCTGAATGGAAGGCTGGTAGACAACGTGAAAAACGATTTAAAGCTAGCAGTCATGGAGGCAGTAGAAGACATTTCTAGCTCAGATGCTAGAAAATTTTATCTTTCAACATCATATATGTTTCCCAATGTTTAATACACTGAACATGACAGGAGCAAAACATCCTAAAGCAATGTTACTACCGGTTGAAATGAAATATTCTATTTTTAAATTAGTATATGATTACAAATCTAAACGCAAATGAAAACGTTGAAATTACAGTATATTATCGCAGAGACTAGTATGATAAAATTCACAATTACAAATAGCTTAAACCTGCATGCGTAAAACTTAGAAAGCATTCTGAAAGCATTCAGTTCATTCATTTGTAACGCAACTTCATTATGATAACAACAAGTCTTATAACAAATTTTCAATAAAAGTTCAAAGTTTCGATAATATTATAAACTCAGGTTTCAGGAATTCTTATTTGAGTTATGCATTTGTATGAAATCCTTTGTTCAGAGATAGCAATAAATGAGCTGTTTCTGTTACCGCACTTTCGTCCTCAGTTTCGTTAGGGTGAACGGAGCTTTGATCCCTTTGAAGAGAAGTAATTGTTGCAGACGTAGATCTGCTCTGTTGCTGCAACTGAGTGTGAGGATTAACATTTGAACACCTCTCAGAGGAGTAGAATCTAGGTGGTGGTGGAACATGTAGCAGCAGGTAGGGGGACTCGCGAAATCCGAGTTACTAAACATTGAATTTCACGGGTATTACCTGCGTCAAAGGCCCCTCTAAATGTATGCGTCCGCATCGGAAATAACCCGCGTTGCGCGATAATTCCTACCTGCTGCTGTGTTAAGGGTCGCAAACGAGGGTTAAAATATTTCTTAGATATAGATGGACGCTATCAGGAGCATT